ATTGCCTTGGCAAAGGAATCCAGATTTCACAAGAGAACCAAGCACATCAAGAGACGCTTCAACTCCATCCGAGATCAAGTCCAGGTGGGAGACATAGAGTTTGCAAGATACATATGGATCTGAATGTTGCAGACCCATTGACTAAGCCTCTTCCACGAGCAAAACATGATCAGCACCAAGGCTCCATGGGTGTTAGAATCATTACTGTGTAATCTAGATTATTGACTCTAGTGCAAGTGGGAAACTGAAGAAAATATTCCCTAGAGGCAATAATAAAGTTATTATTTATTTCCTTATATCATGATAAATGTTTATTATTCATACTAGAATTGTATTAACCGGAAACATGATACATGTGTGAATACATAGACAAACAGAGTGTCACTAGTATGCCTCTACTTGACTAGCTCGTTGATCAAAGATGGTTATGTTTCCTAGCCATAGACATGAGTTGTCATTTGATTAACGGGATCACATCATTAGGACAATGATGTGATTGACTTGACCCATTCCGTTAGCTTAGCACTTGATCGTTTACTATGTTGCTATTGCTTTCTTCATGACTTATACATGTTCCTATGACTATGAGATTATGCAACTCCCGTTTATCGGAGGAACACTTTGTGTGCTACCAAACGTCACAACGTAACTGGGTGATTATAAAGGTGCTCTACAGGTGTCTCCGAAGGTACTTGGCGTATTTTGAGATAAGGATTTGTCACTCCGATTGTCGGAGAGTTATCTCTGGGCCCACTCGGTAATGTACATCACTATAAGCCTTGCAAGCATTGTAACTAATGAGTTAGTTGCGGGATGATGTATTACGGAACGAGTAAAGAGACTTGCCGGCAACGAGATTGAACTAGGTATTGAGATACCGACGATCGAATCTCGGGCAAGTAACATACCGATGACAAAGGGAACAACGTATGTTGTTATGTGGTTTGACCGATAAAGATCTTCATAGAATATGTGGGAGCCAATATGAGCATCCAGGCTCCCCTATTGGTTATTGACCGGAGACGTGTCTCGGTCATGTCTACATAGTTCTCGAACCCGTAAGGTCCGCACGCTTAAAGTTCGGTGATGATCGGTATTATGAGGTTTTGTGTTTTGATGTACCGAAGGTAGTTCGGAGTCCTGGATATGATCACGGACATGACGAGGAGTCTCTAAATGGTCGAGACGTAAAGATCGATATATTGGATGACTATGTTCGGACACCGGAAAGGTTCCGGAAGGTTTCAGACATATACCGGAGTACCGGGGGGTTACCGGAACCCCCCGGGGGCTTAATGGGCCTACATGGGCCTTAGTGGAAATAGATGGCAGCAAGGGGAGTGTGGGGCGCGCCCCCCAAGGCCCAAACCGAATTGGTTTAGGGCAAGGGGGGCGGCCCCCTCTTTCCTTCTCCTCTTCTCCCTTTCCTCCCTCCTCTCCTACTCCTACTAGGAATAGGAGGAGTCCTACTCCTAGTGGGAGTAGGACTCCCCCTTGGCGCGCCTCTCCCTGGCCGGCCACGTCCTCCCCATTGCTCCTTTATATACGGGGGCAGGGGGCACCCCATAGACACAACAATTGATCATTGATCTCTTAGCCGTGTGAGGTGCCCCCTCCACCATAATACACCTCGATCATATCGTAGTGGTGCTTAGGTGAAGCCTTGCGTCGGTAGCATCATCATCACCGTCACCACGCCGTTGTGCTGACGAAACTATCCTATAAAGCTTTGCTAGATCGGAGCTCGTGGGACGTCATCGAGTTGAACGTGTGCAGAACTCGGAGGTGTCGTGCGTTCGGTACTTGGATCGGTCGGATCGTGAAGACGTACGACTACATCAACCGCGTTCTGCTAACGCTTCCGCATTCGGTCTATGAGGGTACGTAGACACACTCTCCCCTCTCGTTGCTATACATCACCATGATCCTGTGTGTGCGTAGGAATTTTTTTGAAATTACTAGGTTCCCTAATAGTTTGTTCTCTGCCTCTTCGGTTCCTACACCTTCTGCGGGGTACTCATCAAACCTTTGTCTGCAGGAATAACTGGGCTTCCTTCGATCATCATCGCCCTGTCTGGCACCACTCCTGAGGATGAGGATGGTATGGTAGTATCCTTTAGAAATATTCCGTCCGGGCCAACAAGTCTCTTACGAGCGGGAGGCCCTCCGTTCTGGTTCAGACCACCCGAAGCACTAAGATCCATATTATGATTTTCCTCATCATTAGTGTCACCAGGGTTGCCTCTACCACGGCCATTATTGCCTCCTCGGCCTGGACCCTATCCTCCTCTACCACCTCCTCTGCCCCCTCCTCTGCCCCCTCCTCTTCCTTGGCCAAAAGAGTTAGGAGCATCAAAGTTTACAAGCAGCCATTCTCCCCATTCGCAATCCTCTACCTTATGCATGCCATCTCCACATTCAGTTACTAGATGACCAATAAGTCCACAGAAATAGCAGAAGTCTGGCAAATTTTCATATTCAACAGGATACTTTATGCTCTCCTCAATGTTATTGGTACAAATCTCACAAGCGGCGTATCCAGATCCAGGAGCACACGGGCACGGAGATACTTGGTCTGGACTATTCTCCCATCTTCCACTGATACACGGATTGGTGGTTTTCCAACTTTCCTTGCTATCTTCTCTGCGATCTCTTTCTTCTTCATCAACCCATCGGGAACACCAATGATCCGTGCCCACACTGGGATTCGGTCAAGCTTGTAATCCTTCACGTTGGTGAACCCATCATATTCTTCCATCACCACCGCAAACCCTCTGAATTGCCATGAGCCACCTCCCATGACTTTGTTCCAATCACCCACACACATGAACTGCGCGAGGAATAGGTTCTCCCCCACTGCTTTGAAGGTGACCCCCTGTGTTGTCATCCACGCATTGCGCATCGATTTATATAGGGCCACATAACTGAAAGGCTTGGTCGTATGAACCCTGAAGATTGCCAACCAACGAACCTCCTGAATCAATTCATCAATCTCACCAGACAGATCTAGATCTTCTTCTTCCTCGCCATGCAGGTTTAATCCCGCAAACTTGTTCTCCAGGGTTGGCCCTGATTTGCCACTTCCAGCGCCAGCACCAGATCCGCTCGCCGCCGGCGGCGGCATCGTCTCTTTCCCAGCCATGCAACGGGATCACACAGGTCGCAACCCTACCAGGAACAAGCCGGGGCGGCAGCCGTGGATGGTTTGAAGACTAGATCGGTATCACTCGGGGGTAGATGGGGAACTCCCGCAGTTGCCGCGAGAGGAAGTTGGAACCCTAGAAAAACCCTAGGGGATATCAGCAGAACATGGCATGTCAAGAGTCAAGACGTGTTTGTTGGGTCATCAAACAAAAATAAAAAGAAAGGTGGCGTCGCGACGGTGCCCTATAGTTGGTAACAACATCCAGCCGATAAATGACCTCCAGAGTGATTGAAATTTGCAGGCTGATATTACCAATCCATTTGTCGCTCCAACGTTATAACTTATAAGCACTTCCCTGTGGCACGCCATTTATTGTTCCGCACAACAAAAGGGTTCCCAGAAGATTGGATCGAGTTACGCCTCTCAGCCAAACTCCAGCAGAAAGCTTTGAACATGAACCTTGTACCCAAATGAAAATCTACGTTGAGGTCCAGTAGAAGAGGGCAAGTATTCCATCTTTGGAACACTATGACTTGAGTTCATGTTATACTTCACCTCTTTTGACTAGCATGTATGCAAAGTCATAGACAATGATCGATAAATCACCATTGATTTACAAAACAAATACAAGCGACAAACAATCCACTAAGTCGTCGTTGATTGTTCTTGCTGCAACAACAGGACACAAGGTGCAACTCTATTGATTCTGCCGCGATTGTTTGCAAGTGTCGCGTGGTGTATTTAGGTCGGCAGACTGTGCCACAAAATATGAGTTATTAATACCTAATGGCTTTTTTTTAGAATGAAAGAAACGCAATTGATTTTTGGTCAAGTGCCAATTGGACACTCCCAAATTCGCCTCTTCCTCGGTGACGCTTGTTTAGACGCAAACCCGCGTGGCCGTTAGCGATTTGTGTGTTACGTGCGGACACTGTTTGGCGATTTGCAAAACGGCACAAGCAAACGACTCCTGCCGACGACGAGTCAGCCACGCCAAGTCGGAGGGAGAAGCGGAGATGTCATCGGGTCCACCACGTCACCCGCCCACATCGCCACCACCGTGGACCGTGGAGCGCCCTGGAATCAGACACTGGATACGTGGCTCCCCACGGCCGGCCTCCCTCTTTCTTCACTCCCCCCACCCCACAGCCCCCGACTCCTGTCTATGGTCGCGAGCGAGTGAGACTGGTAGACGGGACACCAGTCCACGACTCCCGGGCCCCGACGCTTCCGGAGATCCCTCCGTCCCTGGCGCCGGCGACCTCAGAGGAAGACCGGAAAACTGACAGTGCCGTGGGTAAAGATCGATCCACGCCCCACCCCCTGGTCCTATCCCCAGCATTTATGATTCGCGCTGTACTGACGCGCACGCGTTTCTCCGATCTGACAGCGGCAATCGGGCAGAGCTGGAGAGATAGGGAGGCGGGAGCTTGGAGAAGGCCGCTTCTTTCCTTCTTCCCCCACGCTCGTCAGGGAGTCCAGCGTTCGGGTCTACTGACGGATCACCGGTAATTAGCTCTGCTCTGTCCCCCTTTCTCTCTGTCTCCCACCTGCGCCGCGAGGCTTATTGATGCCCGCTGTTTACTGTTCTTGTGCTCCGTGTGGGCGTGGACTGGATCACGGAATCATGGCGCAAAGCTTGCGTCTTTGCCTTTTCCGTGGGGGCACCACCTGATTCCATTCCCCTTTTTCTTTCACTGTTCGGCAAATATCTCTGTTTGTCGGCATGGAACAGGGGAAAATGGCTTTTCTCTTGGTCACATCCACAAGTATGTATATTATTATACAGTTCTGTAGAAAAGCCTGACAAAATATGTTATCATTTGTCAATTTGGTGTCAGCATTGCAATCAGCCATGGTCATGGACACCACTGACCCGGGCTACTGGCTCAACTGGAGGTTCATGCTCTGCGCGACCTGGGTCTACTCCTGTATGGCCCTGGCGTTCTACTTGATCTGGAAGTACGAGGGGCCAAGTTCGCCGGCCGGCAACGACGAGGGGGGCGACAGAGAGGAGGCTCGGCCCAGGATCGGACCCGGAGTTGTGTATCTTGAGGACTGCTGGAAGCCGTGCCTTGAGGAGATCCATCCCGCTTGGCTGCTGGCTTTTCGCCTTGTGTCGTTCTTGTTCATGGCTTCGGTGCTTGTCTCTGATGTTATTGTCGATGGATGGACCGTCTTCCTTTACTACACTCAGTAAGCTACTTCTTCCTTCCTCGTATTGCTGCCTGTGAAGTTTCGCTAACAACAGCTGAAAGATAACGCGAAGTATCCATTTCGTACCAAGTAATATTCAGAAACTTATTTGATTTTGTTTGTTCTCTACATTTGACAGGTGGACCTTCTTGCTTGTCACCTTGTACTTTGGGGTATGTTGTTTGCTACAGTAAACTTGTTGTGACCACTTATTCTTGCCTACACATGAGAATGACAACAACATGTTCTGCCAGAATTTGAACAAATGGCCAATATAAAATATTTTTTGATTGTATAGCACGCAATTTGTTGTATCCGCATGCTTCCTCATTGCCTATTTTGCTGTCACTTACTAGGTGATACCTCTAACGTGCACCTTCTTCATCTTTAGCTTGGTTCGGTGCTTTCTTTCTATGGATGTTATCAGTACGCGTGCAAGACGGCTAAATCTGATGGAGATCATGGCTCTTATATCATTGCTCCAACGGGGGAAAGTACATACGACGATTCCATCAAAAGTTCTTGTTTCAATAGAACACATAATGGCCGGGAAATTGCAGGATTTTGGGGTTATCTGTTCCAGATTATGTTTCAGGTAATTCGTCATATTTATTTAAATACAAAGTGCACATGATTTTCCGAGTTTTAACTGCTGAACAGTAGGTGTGTTGTGATTGATGCTTACTTACTTACGAAGCCTTTTATCCCAAACAAGTTGGGGTAGGCTAGATATGAAACCCTTTCACGAGGACTTCCCAGGAGGTCACCCATCCTAGTACTACTCTTGCCCAAATGGGTTTCATACCCAAAAGACTGGCTAGTTTTTACGTTGGCTCGCCAAGCCTATCACAACCCTTAGATATGAAACCCTTTCACGAGGACTTCCTAGGAGGTCACCCATCCTAGTACTATTCTCGCTCAAATGGGTTTCATACCTATGGGACTGGCTAGTTTTTACGTTGGCTCGCCAAGCCTATCACAACCCTCCTCCTTTACCCGGGCTTGGGACCGGCTATGCCTAGAAGACATAGGCGGAGTTGTGTTGTGATTGATGGAAAAAACAAATAACATAATCTGAAAATGTAATTGCTTGACATGTAATTCTTTTACATTATTATAGCTATTCTTTAACTGAAAGCATTATGAACTTTGGCCAGCCGATGAATGGTGATGATTACGGATTTGGTGTTTGTTGCCCGCCCGATTTTGATATGCTTGTTTTCAGACAAATGCAGGTGCTGTGATGCTTACGGATATGGTGTTTTGGTTCATTCTCTACCCTTTTCTTGCCCGGAATCAGTATCAAATGAATTTTGTGAGTTTTCGATCACAGATTTTACAAACTGTATTCTCTGGGACCTTTTAAGTTAGTATTTGTTAGTCCAGAGAAATGGGAAGAATTGTTGCCACTTTTTTTATAACCAATACTATGATTTGTTACTTCATTATTGTATTTTTTATTCTAAATCTACTCTAAAACCATACATAGAAGTCTAAATAGGACTCCTCTAGTTCCATCCTGGTTTGGAGCTGTGCTAATGAATGACTGAGTGTCTCACACATCCTTTGGTGAACATATTCTTTGGTGCATGTCTTACTACTGTTTTGTGATTGCATACTGCAGTTGCTGATTGGAACACATTCACTCAATGCTCTCTTCATAATCGGTGATACTGCTTTGAATAGCCTGGTAAATGTCTTGTGCCAGAATATATTGATCCATACCACAATCTTCTGATCTTTATATTGACCGTTTAATCTAAAATTGCAGCGTTTTCCATGGTTTAGAATATCATATTTCATGCTCTGGACAGGACTTTTTGTCAGTGTTCAGTGGATCATCCATGCTAATGTGTCGATTTGGTAATACTTTTACTTACATCTCACTTTATTATATTGAATCTTAATTGTGGAAAAAATATTCTTGTGTTTATGTTATACTATTTTTCCAGGTGGCCTTACCCATTCCTAGACTTGACATACCCTCGAGCACCTGTCTGGTAAGTTCTGCTTGACAAAAAGTACTTTTGTAGTGCTATTCTTCCATGTGCAGCTGCTTCATTAATGAATTAGTACCTTTGTATACAATCTAGACTGGGCATGGTACATACCTAGCATTCATAAGTCAAGAATGAACTTAGATATCAATCCAGAGTATGGTTGTTTGTTGGGGGATACATTTTGGGGTCAACCGTTGGTGAATAGATTATCAAGAAGACTAGTCAACAGAATTCTGAACAGCTTCATAATCTGATTACTGTTTCAGGTTCTTGCATAAATTTTGATTAAGTTGTTTCAGAATCTTTTTGAGATACTTGATTATAGTGAATTTTTAACATAAATCTCCATTCCTGTTTGAACTTGCAACCTTGCTGCCTTAAACTGTGATCTCAATAAACTGTACTCATGCAGGTACTTGGTGGTGGCACTGCTTCACTTCCCTTGTTATGGCCTCTTCGCCCTAGTCCTGAGGATCAAGAGATCTCTCCTGGAAAGCTGGTTCCCACATAGTTACACATACGTGAAGTAGACAAAGAAGATACACATATACTGGCACAATTTACTCCCATTTCCCCCTTGTCCTGAAAATCGCATGGAGCTTCTGCTACTACACAATGAGCCGCATTCTTCGGAGTTAGGTGCCTGTAATTCCTTGCACTTGAAAGCACGGGCTCTTTACGGGGTTCTTTACTCAAAAGTGGACGTGTGAATTGCCACGACGTATGTTCGCCAAAATTTTGAGATGCATGGCTTCTTTGAAGTTTGAACCAGGTGTTGTGCCATTTCTCTGCGGTTTTACTAAAATCCCAGTGGGGAATTTTGTGCAATCTGACGTGCGACACCCCGCCATTTGATAGCTATACTTTAGTTGCATTTCTTTTCTTGTCCCTCTGCTAATGGCCGCTTCTCCCTCCTCGCACCGCTCTCTTCCAGTCTGTCGGTGGCCATGCCGACGGAGTACCAGATGACCGCGGTGACTGGCGGACGGAGCTTCAGCGCCGTGGCCCACATGTCGATGACCCAACTGCAGGTGCAGTTACGGCACCGAAGCAGTGTCCGTGACTGGCGGAGTACCAGATAACGGCGGTGACGTGGGGCACGCTGCTACCCACCCCGTGCCGCGCTCATTGCCTGTCTGCCACCGCTCTGTGCTGTCGGCCGCTCAAGGCCGTCGCACTGCCTCTCCAAGTCTCCACACAGTGGTGTTTTAGCTTGAATCAATCTCTTTTCGCGTGCGTGCCTGTGTGTCTCGGTGGTATCGATCTGTTTCCGCGTGCGTTGCCGTTGCCTGCGTATTGCGTAACTCGCCGGAATCAACCAACTTGCTTAGACCAACTCTAACGCGCGACCTAAAGGGACGTCCGTTTTGTCCGGATTTTGTCCGTTTGAGGATGACAATGAGGCCGTGTCCGTCCAAATTTGTGGATGCGGCGGCCGTGCGTCCAACGCATGGCCGCATCTCGTCCGTTCACCAGCACACTAGATAAAATGAAAATGATGCATATGAAATGGTTCAAATCAAATATAGCTTTCAAATAGTCTTTACAACCCAATTGAAATTTGTTTGCATGACAAGAAAACAATATCAAATAGTTACAACCCAATCGAAATTTGTTTGCATGACAAGAAATTAAACTCATAGATCTACTGATTGCCAATGTGAGTCTACACATACTCAACCAAGTTATTCTGAAGCTCGACATGAGTATACCAATCACGCAACTTCCGATGAAACTCGATAAACTGTTCAAAGGTTGCAGGAGGTGGATGCTCAGGCTCAACATTTTCACCCTGAAAATCAAACACTTGGTCATAGATACTATCATCGCGCTCATCCTTCACGATCATGTTGTGCATGATCACACAAGCAGTCATCATCTCCCAAAGCTTCTTCGTGCTCCATGTCAATGCAGGGTTACGAACGATACCCCACCGAGACTAAAGCACACCGAAAGCATGCTCCACATCCTTTCTAGCACTCTCTTGTATTTGGGCAAACCTCTGTCTCTTCTCTTCTTGCGGATTGGGTATGGTCTTCACAAGAGTGGACCACTGAGGAAAGATGCCATCAGCTAGGTAATATCCGTTGTTGTAATGGTGGCCATTGACCTCAAAATTGACCTCCGGGGAGTGCCCTTCCACAAGCCTTGCAAACACCGAAGACCGCTGAAGAACACTAATATCATTCTGAGAACCAGACATGCTGAAGAAAGAATGCCATATCCAGAGATCTTGTGAAGCCACAACTTCAAGTATAACAATGGCACCTTTCACATGCCCCTTGTACTGCCCCTGCCAAGCAAATGGACAGTTCTTCCACTTTCAGTGCATACAATCTATACCACCAAACATGCTCGGAAAGCCCCTCTCGACATTGATCACTAACAACCTCTCTGTATCAGCGACATTTGGCTCTCTGAGGTACTCCGGGCCGGACACTTCCACCACGGCCGTGCAAAAACTATACAATGAGAGGAGACATGTGGACTCACTCATACGAACATACTCATCCAAAAGATCACCGAGAATTCCATATGCAAGCATGCGGATAGTCACTGTGCATTTTTGGTATGAAGAGAAACATAAGCTTGCCTAGGGCATCCTCTTTGCAATCAAAGTATGGGTCATGCACGACCACTCCCTCGCGAATACGATTGAACACATGCCTTCTCATTCGGAATCGGTGACGAAATTGATGGCCTAAAGAGTGCACCATCCTTAAAGTAATCGACATAGAGAAGGGTGTGGCCTTTCTTCCTATTGTGGTCCAAGGCCGAAGCATGGCCTGGGATTGATCCCTTGTACCGAGGCCACTTCCTAGTGATGTGTTCATGTACGACCAACACAGCCCCAGCTCTTCGTAATCCGAGGATGAATCATCCGATGAGCAAATGAAGTTGTGAAAGAAAAACTCATCACCACTATCCATTGTACCTTGTGAGCAATCCGTCGAACGCCTTGCGGTCGTGCTGGGAAAGCGGACGGATAGTGCACGTTCTGCTCCCCTCGCAGGAAACAAAGCAAGGTTTTGGGGTCGGTGGTGCTGGAGGGCGTCATGCGTCACCGAAGGCCGGCTGGAAGAGGTTGGGGACGACAGGCGACGCCGACAGCCGTAGATTATCTCCCACCGACAACAAGGAGAACGCCGGCCAAATGCTTTCCAAAAGGCCGCTACGGAGATAGCTATGGCATGGCGCGGTGGTGGTTGGGACAGCCCTGGTCGAAGACGACGCGGCCGGGGATCGTGGTGGCGGTGGCAATGTCGGGGCGCAGAGGGAGGTAGACAAAGAGAAAGGGGGTTTGTCTCCCCTACGAGCGAGCCAGGGCAGGACAAGGGCACGCGCATCCGCGCGTGTCCGTTTGGCCGCAAACTCGGCCCAATCTTGGGCCGAGAATGGGTCAAAAGCAAACAGAAACGGACGACGGTCTGTTTGCGGCCGCGCGTTGGGAGGCCTGCTTCGTCCGTTTACTTCCACATGAACATGGGCGGACAAGATGGGGTCGCGTGTTGGAGTTGGCCTTAGGGCGGCTGTGTACGTGCAACGTGTATGTGCTTGTCTTCCAGAGAATCCATCAACCAGTCTATTAGCTTACCTTGGCTAGCTTGTCTATGTGCTCCTGCTGCTTGCGCTTGCCGGAGTGGAGAGGGGAGCGGCGCAAGCGCAAGCAGAGGAGCAGCAACGTGGTCTATGGGGAAGGAGCAGAGGAGCAGGCGACGTTGTCTATGGGACAACGAGCACGGCTTCCCAATGGTGGCACCTGCGGCTCTTTCCATCATCGCCCTGTCGATGATGAGGCAGTGGAGATGCGTGTGACGACATCTACGGGATCCATTCTGCAGGCGTCAGCGCACCTAATGGGCGAGCTCTGGTCGCTGGAGCACCACGCGCCGGGCCAACGTGTGCTCCAGCTGGTGCCCGCCCGGCGCCGTGATGACCCACAAGTATAGGGGATCTATCGTAGTCCTTTCGATAAGTAAGAGTTTCAAACCCAACGAGGAGCAAAAGGAAATGATAAGCAGTTTTCAGCAAGGTATTCTCTGCAAGCACTGAAATTATCGGTAACAGATAGTTTTGTGATAAGATAATTTGTAACGGGTAACAAGTAATAAAAGAAAATAAGGTGCAACAAGATGGCCCAATCCTTTTTGTAGCAAAGGCCTGGACAAACTCTTATATAAAGGAAAGCGCTCCCGAGGACACATGGGAATTATCGTTAACTAGTTTTCATCACGCTCATATGATTCGCGTTCGGTACTTTGATAATTTGATATGTGGGTCCCCCAAGCTTGGCAGTTGCCAAGGGGAGTTCCCATACCCAATACTCAGTTCCTCGGAGGTGGTGGTTATGGAGTTGTTGATGATGTAGGCTTGTTGTCCATCTTCCAAGGCATAGGCTCACCATCGTAGAAGGATGATCGAGTCTCCGGGATCCTCAAATCTGTAGCCAAACTCATCCTCTTGAATCTATATTCATACTCACAGTTTTGGTTTTGCAGGTCATAGATCTGGGCTTGGAGATGCTCAATCTTCTCATGAAGCTTGAGGATGGTCTCCCCAATGCTCTTGGCATCCATCTTGTGGTTGTTGGCTAACTTCGCGATCATTATGTGGTTGACATTGAGTCCATGTTCCACCATCTCCTGGCACTTGAAAACTTGTTGCTCCATTGCTTCGAGTCTTGCCTCCACGCTTCCGGTCCTCCTTGGTCACTCAACATCGCGGATGTGCAGCAACCCCTCACGCATCTCAATGGTTTGAGGGTGTTGCAACACCTCCGCGAGGTAGGGGTTGATGACCTTGTCGAAGAACTTGTCCTTGGGGGCGCTTGAAGACGTCATGATGATCTAGACCTGTCAGAAAAATAGCCCGAAACGAAGACAGAAGATATTTGCATGATACGGTGGTCAAATCCTTCGGGAGATTATATAATGAACTTTTACCGACCAAAAGAAGTATCGTGCAAGAAAACGGAGTCCGGAGAGCACACGATGTGCCCACAAGGCAGGGAGGCGCGCCCAGGGGGTAGGGCGCGCCCTCCACCCTCGTGGACGCCTCGTGTCCTTCCCGGACTGCTTCTTATTTTCCTATTTTCTTAAATAATTCAAAACGGAGAAAAATTGCTATTAGAACTGTTCTGGAGTCGGTTTACTTACCGTACCACATACCTATTCCTTTTCGGTGTCTGAAACGTTCTGGAAAGTGTCCCTTATGTATTCCTCCGGGGTTACGGTTTCAATAACATTGGTTTCAACATTTATGGGATTACCTGAGATATAATGTTTGATTCTTTGACCGTTTACCACCTTCGGATTTGTGCCTTCGAAGTTGTTGATTTTTATGGCACCGGAACGATAAACCTCCTCGATAACATAAGGACCTTCCCATTTAGAGAGAAGTTTGCCTACAAAAGTCTTAAACGAGAATTGTATAGCAAAACATAATCACCTACATTAAATTCACGCTTTTGTATCCTTTTATTATGCCATCTTTTAACCTTTTGGGCTCATTTGGTTTGAAGGAAATCAAA